AAGGGCGAGAGCACTGGGAAAGGAAGAAGGGGAAACAGTGTCTAAACTGGTTACATGGAGAAAGTATCTGCACTTTTGTCCTGTCTATGCTAGGTTTTTACAGGGAGATAGGTATGGAAATGTGAAGCAAAGAACCTTCAATTTGCAGGAACTAGAATAAACTTACATTTCCCACTGAACTTCACACTTCACAGGCAACTTTAGCTGTTCTTCAAAGCACCTGTGAGTGGAATCGGATTTTCCATGAGGTTCCCCGTGGTCTCTCCTTCTCCGTCACTTCCCACAACATCAGCATCGCTGGAAACCTTCTTTCAGCACCTCCAGCCCAGCTGCCAGTGGAAAAGATTTCCCTGCAGGTGTGAGCAGTACAGTCCCTGCAAATGTAACTGCATCCATTCAAGGGGATCAGGTCATCATAAACTTCTTGGTGCCAGAGCTGTACATTGTCTGCAAGCCTGAAATGCTGAAAGCAGGCTGGAAAACAAGGAAGATCCCCTTCAACTATTCAGCCAGTGTTTTTCTTGTCTTTACCCTTCAAAGACTTCCTGAAACCTCTGTGCCACATGAAAACACTGATCATGCTATCAGTGCTGTGGGCTTCTTTCTGTAGGGAAACAGCAAAACAATGAAAGAGAGAGAGCAATAAAACAATATAGGCAGGTTTTTACAGATTCCCCAAATAATCCATTTGGCATCTAATTCACGTTGTCAGCTTCACCTAAGTATTCAAGGGGAAGGGAGGGCTTCTTCCTCAGTGGAGATGCTTACTTATTTCACTACAGGATGTCTGAGGATGGACACAGATAAGGACAATTACTTTCCTGAATAAGGAGAGGGTCTAGGGTTTGCTCCTCCTGTGGTGTTCCAAAGCAGTAGGTAAAACTATTTCTTATTTACCCTTCTCAGCTGCTGCTGAGCCATTAGCCTTTATGGTTCACTTGACTTTCAGTAAGGGAGGCCTGAGGCAGGGCAGGTGGGCAGGCTAGCTTGTCTGACCTCGTTATTGCTGAGACCTGTCTATCTCCTCAGGCAGTGCCAAATGGTGCAATTTTTGGTTAATCAGTCCAATACTAAATTGGGAAATATTTTCCTCTGTCACTTGTCATTCTTCCTTCTCAGTGCCCTTTCATTGCCTTGTGAAAGGTGAGACTGTCGGCAGAAAGGAGTAAGTCTGATTACCGACATCTGACTGAAGAATATATAGGCTCCTCTCTGCATATTGGTGGGAAGGTAGTCGTACTTCTCAAGTGAGAGGTGAGGACTGTTTGAGCTGGAAATCCCTGTGTGTTCCTGAAGTCTCCACAAGCTGAGGGTGAGAGATGATACACTCTCCCTTGTTAGAACTCTGGGGCAATGGTGCAGCCTTTTTGATTTCAATGCTCCCATGGAGACACCAAAAAATAAGGGAAGTGGATGATGGATATCAAGATGCTGGGTGTACTGGTATTGCTTACTTGGGACTCTGGATTTTTTGAATCTCCAGTCCTGGCTACATTTTCTGATCTGCACAACTTTTTTTTCTGTGCCTGTTCCTGCTCACAGGAAATTGCAGAACCTCTTTACCTTGTGGTGTCACTGTAGTATTGATACAGTCACCTCTGCTGGCTTCACTGGTTTAATTTGTGTTAACTATCATGTTTGTAACCACAGTGAAAGTGATTATTTTCTAAAGCAGGTGGAGAGTGGCTTCTGCTGTCTTGAAGGGAAACATTCCTGCCTAGGCTGGGACTCAAGGGAAAGGGGCCAGCCTGGTTCTCTGGAAAGATGAGCTGGGGCTCTGCTGAATTATTAAGTACACACCACAGCCATCAGCTCGGAGAGAAAGAGAAGCACCAGCTTAGGTCACAGGTGCAGGATGGAGATTATTAAGAACAGAGGAGTGTAACTGGATCTGACTCATGCCCTTTGATGCTCTGCTGCCTTGATCAGTGTCACAGCTGCTTGGCACTATGATGCACATGCTTGGCTTGGTTTGGTGGGCCTCTCTGGCATCACAGACAGTTAGAAAAGTCCAACTCCACAGCACTGAATCCTCCTGCTCCTTTCAGGGGCATCTCACTCTTAGAGCAAGCCTGGTGGAAGAGCAACCCTAGGTCACACACATGGAAACTGAGGCACAATGTTTCAGTCTAACAACTCAAATGTGTTGACCACGCTTAAACCCCGTTTGTTCACCAACATAAATGATATGCAGATTTGCAGAGGACACAATCACAAGCAGCTGCAGCAGGAGGTCCACCGGAGCTTATGTATCTGCAGTTCTTGTGAAAAAACAGGTTGTCTGATTAGATGACTTTGTTGCCCAAGTATGTGTGTCCACTCCAGAAGTTTTGGGCAAGGTTGTATAGCCCTAGGCTATAGGGAAAGATAACTAGGTTGAAAATAAGATGACATCTCCCAGCCATGCCTGAGATCTCTGAGATCCTTCCGCTGTGCATGTCCAAACAAAATGGGGAATGTCTTTCTGTCCCTTTGGCCACGTGAATCTGCTGTGATGCGAGGAAAGGACAGGATGAGGTGTTGCACTGTGAAGAGAGTCATGCAGCTGCTTCTTGTTTGGTAGCAGCTGGCACTTACCAGCACTGGCAGGTGGCTGGTGCACCCATAGGAGATGCTGCCTCATTCAAGGGGACAATATCCCTTACTCTGAATGAGGCACCCAGTCCTGTTCCTGAAGGAACTTCTACCACACACTTAAGGACTGATCTTGCACTGTTTTTGCTTATTCCTCTTGCTTCAATCATAGATTGAAATAGTTTACTACTGGAGGAGGTCTACTTTATCAGTAAATATTGATTTCTATATTGCCACCTTGTAAGTCTCGTCCTCTTTCTCTGCTGTTAATGCCAGCCTCTCTGGAGTTCCTTGGGACAAGGAAATATAGGTTGTTTTCCTATGTTTTCCTCTTTCAAGTATGTCAGTCCTTGAACACCAAAATAGAGCACTTCCAACTGGAGACAGGAACTTGTCATCTGACAGTGTTTCTCCTTGTTTCACAAGTTACCTTGTGAAAATCTGCCTGTGTTGGGCCATATTAACCTTTGAAATGTCAATAGTTGTAAATGCATTATGAGATGTTTAATGGGTTTTGCAAGGTTTCAAAACAGTTAAGAATCTCTGAAGAATCTGCACTCACTGAGTAGGCTCTGAGCCTCTCACAACACAGACTTTTTGGTCTAAATAAGACAGTTTTAGGAGTGAGATTAGAGGAAGGATATAGTCAAGCAGTGAGGAAAAATGAGTAAAGCTGCTTAAAGTAAATAGCTGACAATTGTCTTCTGAACAGAAGTTTTAGGCTGTCTGAAAAGCAGAGGAGATATTATCAGTTTCAGGTATACTTTAATACTTTATTCTTCACTGATGTGAAAGCAAGTTTCAGAAGCAGCATTTTGTGGAATTTCCCATCAGAAAAGGCTTTTATTTTTTGCTCACATTAAGGATGAAAAGAAGGACTGTAATGGCCCTGCTCATTTTTCTATCACCCTGTGCACGAGATGTTGCTGGCTGGCGGTACCACCATCCCTCTGTGGACAGAACTGTGGCAGAGGGACTGGGTAAGACTTCCAAAGGAGACCAGCCCCCTTGCAGACTGTCCTATGCTGCCTGGCAGCAGCTATCAGTGGGAGAAGGGTTGGTTGTTTTTCCTTTGGTTTATCTAGCTCTTGGTCTCCAAACTGGAAATACCTTGGCTGTCAGGAGCAGCAGAGGCTTATTTGCTTTTTCCACATGAATCATGAGACTGGAGATGTTCAGTCTGCTCCATGATGGAGGGTCTCAGCCTGTTTCTCTGTTCAGTGGGGCAGCTCCCTGGGCAGATTGCTGGAAAGCTCTGGGAACAGATGAATAAAGAGGTGTGAGAGCATCTGGAGGGACCACAGGTGTCCCAGTGCCCTGGCACCCTGTAAACACAGCCAGCCTGATTTCTGTTCCTCTGAACTGTACTGCTCACATGTATCCTTCTAAATGGTATAGGGCAATAATGCTGCAGACCTTTAACCTGTATTCCAGTTAGGAAGAAACTGTAAACCAAGCAATGATAATATATAGTCTGATAGCAGTTTATGATACTTCAGCAGGTGAACCTGTTTACCATGAACAATACTTTTCTATGGAAAGAGATGATGCTATATCCTGAATCAGGCTTTCCCCTGCAGTGTCATCATGTGTACAGTGTCAACATTGTACTATTTTTCTAATAGGAGCACAAATATTTTCTTTTATTTCAGAAGCCTCTTGCTCAGATGATTTCAAATTCAGGCCACTGGGATTTCTACAGAAATTTTTGAGAAAGCTGGAATAAACTTAGAGAATGTAGAACAATGTAAAACGAAACTGTTGAGCCCAAGTTTGGGTTGCAGTGTCATTTCCTGACCTATTGTAAAATAGTGGATGTAGCCACCTAACTCCAGACCACTTCTTATGTGTGTGATGGGTCCAGTGCTTTAGCTGGAAAATGCCAAATACACCATTTCAATGGGAGCTAAACCCTGTAGCTGCAGGCAAAGTAGTTTACAGAGTCGAGTATGAACTGCAGCAGGATTCAATGCATTATGTATGGATCAGCCCTCTGGAATTGCACATGCATGTAAGTTATGCCTGTAGGAAAACAGTAATTTAAAACCTCCTTCTTCTCCGCCTCTTGGAGCTGACTTACGTTAAATATTAACAAACTTGGTTCATCAATTCCCTGGTTCACTTGGCTTCTTTTAACAACAGACGTTACTACAACAACTCTGTCTGCCTCCCTGCCTCTGCCAGCACAGCCAATGGTGAAACCCAAGAATCTGCAGCTGTAACTCTGCCTGCAGAGCCTGGCTGCTGCCCCAGTCCTATAGTCATCCCCAACTTTCTTCCTGAGATCACAAATGCATCCCACCTTTGGCGTCTTTGAGTAGTTTGTACTGAGAGACACTTGTTGCAGAGAGGCTTTGGTTAAAGGAGACTGAGGAAAGGTGTGAGTGAGCCCACAGGAAGGTGAGTTCCTCTTGTCAGAGGAGGAAGCAGTGAGCATGGCCAGCAACCCCAGTGCACTGCCCCGGGTAACCTTCCAGACACCGGAGAAACCTGGGGAGGAATCATCACACAGGAAACTGGGCAAGCTGACCATAAAGTATAACCGCAAAGACCTACAGCGCTGGCTAGACCTGGAGGAATGGATCAATGCCCAACTGCAGGAGCTATACCAATGCCGGGTGAGTAGCTGGGGCAAATCAGCTTGTTAGGTAAATGGGTCTAGAGATCCTGTGTGCTGGGACAGAGTTTTGCTTACTCTGCCTCACTGGAAATAGTTTCTCATCTTCATTCTTCAGTAGGTATCTCCTTGCCACCTGCTGCAGTCCTCTCTCTGACTGGTGTGTCGGCAGGCAGAGAAGCTTTCACTGATACAATCCAACCAGCTTTAAATTGCCTGGCGTTGCACCCACTGAGGGGATGTAGCTATTGTTCAGCACGAGTAGCAGAACCTGGAGAGATGTATAAACCCAGGATGCTTCTTGTTGCTGCACTCCATGTGGTGAGTGGCTTTGCTGCGAGCAGTATTTAAGCTAGCTGGGTTAGAGTTATCAGTGTATCCCTGTTCCTTTTTGACACAACAGTGAGGGTCTACCTGCTGTTTGAAAGAGACACTTTGGATAATGCTGTATCTGTAGGTGCTGAGTCTGGACACACTACTGACAGAAGGAGAAGGGAAAAAAAATCCTATGCACAAATGTGTAGATCTTATGCCTTCTTGTTCACAAATCCCCAGAGCCGTCTTCCTTGCCTGAACTTCCCTTTGCAACAGGAACAGTCCTTCTTAAATTCTTTCTGCCTACCCGAGAGTTGTCCCACTAAGAAAGATCCAGGAGTGCCTAGGTCCAGCACCTGAATGGTGCGGGTCTTTATTTCAGCTGTTGCAGAGTAGATGACAGTTTTTTATCGGGTAGGTGACATTTAAGTCAAGTTCCAGCACTGGCTGTGTACCCTGAAATTTTAACCTTGTACTATCACTTCTGTGCATATACTATGCTTAGATGGATAGCTCTTATGCTGGGTGCTTTCATAAGTGATAGTGCTTTTCCATTCCTTTGGAGTGTGGTACAGGAAAAGGTGAAAGGATTTCCTACACTGTACATCATGACCTTAAACCCATTTAAATAGCTTGACTAAGAGTTTTTCTTTACTCTGTAGGGCAATGGCCAGTACGGTAAGAGAACAAAGCTTTCTTGACTCACAGCCCAGTACATCTTCAGTGGAAGACATAGATTAGTCTAAAAACTTGTGTAAAACAGCTTATTCATGTCTTGGATGGAAATGGACTAAATGAACTGCCAAGGCCTTTCTGTCCTGTCTTCTGTATTTGCACCTCAGCACAGTGCTAAGCACATTTAAGGAAAAAAGAGTTGATGATTGCTTAGAGTCTTCCACTCCGAGCATCAGCACTTTCAAATTGCAATCAACAATGGAAGTGGATGTGTTAGCACAGCCCAGGAAAGGTAGTTTTTGTGCTATATGCCATGATGGTACAGAGAAACTTTTGCCTGCCCAGGGTGATTTTCTTAGCCTGAGAGCCATAGAACAATGTCAACTCCATAGCTGAAGAGCCAAACTTCAGGAACTGTCTCAGGGCTGTCTTTATTATTGTTGTTGCTGTTGTTTTTTACTATTGTAGTCATTATTATCACAATTTTCTGTGTGAATTTTCCTATTTGATATTTGTGGGAAGGTACCAGATTCTCAAGCCACGTTGGGAGATAAAAATAGTTCATTTCTGTTTGAATTTATGCCGTAGGCAAATAACAGGCAGCAGAAAACAAATATGGAGAAAAGGTCCTTCCTTCTGCTGCAAATGAATGGCTCCTCTGAAAATTCCCCCTATGGGGAATTACTGCAGTTTTAAAGAGTTAAGTTTTTGGGACTTTTTTGGAGACAGATGAGAAGCACTTCGTAGCACCAGTCACATGACCCAAGATGGGGCTCCCCATGTGCTACTCTTACTTGCTGAAGTCTAGCGAGATAGACCTTTACACTTGTCCAGGTGTAAGAAAAACAAGTCAGTTTACGTTATCACTTCTGCTCTTCTGAAAATTAAGATCTGTTTACTGTCATCAGAGCAGCTGCCCAAAGGGGACATTTTTTTCCCTACTACAAAATGCCAGCAGGCACAAGTGAGAAACCCAGCCATGCCCTTACAGAAACAGATTGCCAGTGGATTGCCTTTGCTAGCAGCTCTCCAGCACAACAGATTTCCCTGCTTCCTGATGTATTCAGACCAGCCTAAGAGATTTGCTACCAGGAACTACATAATACGATGGTGTGCCAGGTCAGACTATTAATAGGGTACAACAGGGGGGGTTACATAGGATCTTTTCAAATACATACATGTGTCACAGTAATTGCTTATAATCACCCAGGTGTCCAGCAGGTCCTCCTGCTCTCCTCTGTGCATTGTAGCAAGAGTATTTAGCTAACCCTGCTACTCTGAGCTTCCTTGTGTCCATCAACTTCCATTACATTTACCATTTTCTGTTACCTCTTACTTTGCTCCACCTGCCCTTGGCAGTGCAGTGTTCCTCAGTGTCTTCTAAACATTCAAATGCCAGCAAGGTTAGTTCAAACATCACCTCCTGATACAAGTAATATGAATGCTATGATGTTTACTATCATGAAGCTTTTTTGCAACCAAACTAAGACTTGGTGATTTTCAAAATGATTCCTTGCACATGGAATCCAGAACAGCATCCACACTAGGACCAAAAAGCCACAGGGAATTACTAACCTGTCTCACCTTCCTGGCCTATTTAGCTTCTCAGCCAGAGACAAAGTTGAACTGGATCAACACCTGCTTTCTAAACAGTTACATGGAAACTATTACTTTAAAAAAAAATGCTGTGTGGGTCACAATGCAATATATTTAACTCTGGTTTATTATTTATTGTTAAGTTAGCTGCATATCACAGTTAAACAAAGGCTTTCTACTTCCTCTCTGGCATACAGAGAAATATCAGACACTGCTAAGAAAAAGTTTCTTTTTTTCCTGTAAGTATTGCCTTTATGTTTAATGTTTTACACATACATCTGTAAATGCTAGTTCGCAATCATGTACTGTGCTGTTTACCCAGTATCCTTACTCTGCTGATTATTATGTCAAAATATCACTAGTGTTGTGCTGTGAAAGATTCATTTTGCAAATACACTGGAAAACCACAACCTGCTTTCCTTAAAGACTTGTAGAGACTTTTGAAGCTTTAATGTGTCTGGGATCAAGTTTTACAAATGTTCCAACTAACACCCCGATGTAGTACAAGATTATTACTCCAGTCACCAAAACTTGGGGTCCCTCTTACATTAAAGAAGACTATTATGTCCCACTCATGTCTGTTAGAGAAAGCTGGCAAAATACTGTTAGGTCTTTCAACAGCATAATTGTTTTTCTCTCCATTGCTGCAAAAAGCCTTAGTATAAATACAAAGTATATGAATGTAATTAGCATAAAAGCCTAAAATCTTCCTGTATTATTTGTGCCTCTCAAACACTAAGCCTGCTGGATTTGTTTGGTGAACTCTTCATAGATGAGGGGTGTCACAGGCTGTCTTAAATTGCACTGCTGTTGGATACTCTTGAAAGGGTCTTTCCATGATGGATTATGATCCCTGAGCAGTGCAGTGGTGGGAAAAGATGAAGAATATGTACATCAGGAGGTGTGGTTCTAGCAGACTACGCAAAAGGGCTGGAATCTGTGCCCTCTTTATAAGAACCTCCTTATTTTGAGATGATTTATATCATGACTTCAATTTTGCAGCACAGTTTGTAACTCAGCTGCTCAGTTCTTTAAAGATGGACTCTAGATTTCTTAGATGTTGGAAGGTTTATTAACTGTGGTGGGTTTTTTTCTTTTTAGCTAAGGGAAGAAACAGAGACAGCAGCTCCTGAACCACAAATTGATCTTGAAGATCTCCTGGAGGTCCCTAATGAAGAACAGAAATTAAAACTACAGGTCAGATAGAGAGACTTGGTGACTTTAGATTAGGGACTTCTTAGAGTAGTGGTGTGGGGGGTAGAGAATATGTGTTTCCAGTGTTGTATGATGCTTCCCTGTGTTTTCACTTGTCAGAGGTAGTAAGATTATATACATTTTTTGTAGAGAGGAGATGATTAGATCAACTCAAAAATACTAAAATGGTGACTCCTTGTTTTTTTAGGAAATCCTCCATGAGTGCTCCAGCCCTACAGAGGTGAGTGAAGCACCATACACATGTATGTATGTTAGTTATATATTATACTGTGCTGCTACAATGTGTCTTTGTTGCTGCTTGGCTGAATAGCCAAGATATTACTGTACTGTAGATTCATTTAATCCTAATGGGAGGTGTTTGCCACTTTATTCTGCTGTGTTACAAAATTACATGTAAATCTACATGGGTGAGCTGAAGGCAGAGCACTGGAGGAAATAAGGAATTATGCTTTACAACCAAAGAAAGTTCATTCATTCCATGTTTTGGAATTTTGGAATGACTAGGCTGAGTTGCTATTTGGTCCTCAGTGTAGAAAAGCCATAGATAGCAACACAGTTCACGTAACAACATTGCACACTGCCAACTAAATGCATTCTTAGCTTTAACCACTCTATGGTTATGAATGACAAGAATGTAAGATGGTCTTCATGTTGGATTGGGCAGATAACTGCCATGTAAGTTAGTTATACATGTGGGTTTCTTTTCCCCATGTGAACTTTACAAGTATTGATCTTGAGTTAGAGAGTTAAAAAGTCCCACAAGCAGCCACAATGTCCAGAGGAGTGGAGCCTGTGTAGTGATGTATGCAGTGTAGTGCATGCATCACAGAGGAATTGCCTGCTGCATTGAATACCTGTGCAAAATGGGGTCCCCCATCACTGCTTCAGCCACATGCATTGCATGTGAACATTGTGCTCAGACATCGTTCCTCAGACTCCACATCCTGTCGAGCCTATGTAGCTGTACAGTGATGAATATATAGAAAATGAGATGAATGCATGACTATCACTGAAATTAAACTGGGCTGTAGCAATCATTACAGATAGTCTCCTAGCAGGGGTTCAACAAAGCTGGCAATACAGAAATAGTTTTCAGAGTGTGTGAATTTCAGATCTGAGGCAAGAATCCCACATTCCCTGAGTGATAATTGAAGAGTTTGCTCTACTGACTCATAAGCCACAAAGGTGTCTTGTGGGCAGCAGGGTACCTGCTGAATACAGATACTGCTACCCCATTGGCAAACCCATGTACTTTTACCCTGGTGATCTTGAATCCTCTTGAAAGATCTCAGCAACCTAATTCCAGAAGGCAGACAAGAAACAAAGTGGTTTCCTCTGAAAGGACTAACTGAAAAGGAATGAATGATCCTAGGCATTTACTTCCAGAGCAAGTTGTGGCAACGTCTGATACTGAAGTGAGGAAGCTGGGCTTCCACACAGCACAAATGCTAATAAGCTGCAATAGTTCCAGTGACCTTGCCTAATTACAAGGACATGTAGCTATGTCTTTGGGTGAAGAAAGGCTGCACACTTCTTTATGGTGATGTTACTTGTCATGCAGAGAGTAAAGTTTGCACATTGCCCTCTGCTTGGAATAACCAGTTGGTCCAGTTTAGTTCATAGTCCTTGGCTGTGTCAGCAAAGTATTCAGGGTTTATCTCCATTAACTGCTCATCTATCTGCTCTGCCTCCCCTCAACCCCTGCTCAACGTTATCATTAGTCCTACATGTGTTTTGCTCCACCTCTTCTCTGCCAGCCACTTCCTTGTAGAGCTGGCACAGCTCCAAGATGGTTTGCAATCCACAACATGGAGCTTTACAGGTTCAACAAGAGGAACAGCTTGCTTTGCCCTAGATTGGAAAGGCAGAAGAAGTGGGCAGGAGGTTATGGTGGCAACAGGAAGCAGTGGAACCTAACAGAGGACAACAGCATCCTGAGGTCATCTCAAGGTAGAAAAAGCAGGTATCTGGGATGAAGAGGGGCAGGCTAGCTCCTAGGGAGAAAATAAACATGGCTGTTCCAGAGGGAAACAGGGGAAGGGAAGTAGAGGAGCTTTTAAGATCCTTTTGATCCATCAAAAGGTCTCCTTTCCTAAGCTAAAAAATAGGTTTGCTCAAAGTATGTCAAAATTCTGGTTTCTGCTCAACATAAAGGCAAATGTGGGAATGATGCAAGTGCCATAGTACTTTTTGGGCTGGTGAGCACTGGAATTAATATGACATCCTTCTTTAACCAATTCTTACTGTAGGACTTCATTACGGAATTGCTTAGTCGATTGAAAGGTCTCCGGAGAGTCACCAATCCTCAGAAGAAATGACCTTGCTCACATGGAACACCCAGCTTTGGTCACAAGGAAACGTGTGTCTTCTCTACAAAAAACAGGATCAGCAACAGCACTTCTGAATATGTTTAGGACTTATTACTGAGAAACATCACCAAGTTTGTGAACTTTGTACCAGTGGTTTGAAGTCTCCACTGCTTCCAGATCTACACACATAGCAGGCAGCTAGAGTGTACATCTTCTTGATTCTTAAAGAGCATGTTAGCCTGGGAAACAGGACAAGGTGTCCTTCCTTTAGTTTCTTCTAGGAATTTCCATGCTGGCCAAGGAGCACTGAATACAATTCTCAGGAGCTCGTCGAGACTTCTTTTGTTCTGTCCGCTGCAAGAAAAACAAGGCATTGGTTATCACTCATTCATCAACATGGAAAATCAGTCACTGTTAAGCTGCACCCCATTTCAGTCTGGCTGGGACCCAGCTGCGATCTCCTGCCTGTTACCGCTGTACCTGACTCTACAGCATTACACCTACTTTGTAAGTCTTATTAAGCCTCTGTTATTTATGAAGGTTGGACAGAAAATATCCAGTATGATGGAAGGAAAATGGTCAAGTGCACCTGGTCTTCTTAAGGGGAAGTTTGTGAAACAGCTGCTAAGGCTAATGGAAGAGATCTTCTTTTTTTCTAAAAGGCTAAGATTTAGTCTTTTTCCTAAGTCTTTTTTCTATAAGACTTAATGATTTAGAAGTGTCTTCTAAAGGAGCAAGGTCTGGGAATGATTTATCTCATAATTTAAAAAGATGTTGTAAAAATACTTATTTTGTATATTAAACCAGAGAAAACCAGCCGTGCATTGCTTGCTTTTGTTCTCTCTTTAGGTACTAAAAAAAAACTGAAGTAAAAAAATATCTGCTCCCAATTTCCCTTCAGGGAGCACCTCAGAGTGAGTCTTTTACAGACAAGGTAGGTCTCACAAATGAGCAGTGAAGTAGGACACATTGTCTTGCTGGACAAACTCTTTTGGCAACAACTAATGTTTGTCTGGAAAAGTACAGAGGAAACTACATCCAGCCTCTCAGCAGGTCAGTAATTTGACACATGTGACTAGGAAATAAGGTAGCAAATGGAGGCCGATTGCTTAGGCAGAGCACTCTGACATTATGCCTGCCCCTCCACTCATGCCCGCCACTCAAAACACAAGAGTTGCTGAGTCACATCCAGAGGGGCTTCTATGTACCAGTACATTCAAGGCCAGCTTTTGAGTACATGTTTTATTTTTTTGTCAGACAGGGGCAGAAGGGACCAACTCTGGAACAGGAGGGACATGCAGGTCAGCTAACAAACACAAACAAGAATTCTTGGGCTGGACCAGTAATATCTTAAATACATTACTCTTTCCATCTTTATCAGTAGCAGAGTGATGACTATTACCTTTTGCTTCCCTCCTATTTTCCAGGTGTCAGTGAACAAGCTGTGGGCCCTGTCCTCTGAGAGGACAAAATCCAAGCTGCAGTAACAACTGTGATGTAAGGGCTTGCTTCCCTTCAATGCTGTTCTTGTAGCTGACTGGCTCCTGGAAGTTTGCAAGCCATGCAGATCATGTCTTGTTCTAAGGCTGCTCCAAGATGCTCTAAGCCTCACCCACTAGGTTGGAGAAATGGTCTTCCTTTATCAGGGCCAATATATATCTATGGTAGTCCTGGGAACAGGCCATTTTTCACCTAGAAAGGGACTAATAGGACATGCCTGCCCTTCTGAAATCTCAGCTTTGTAAGTAAAATAACAACAAAATTAAATCCAGAGCTGCAACGGTTGTAGATCTGGCACTGATCATGGATTGACGAGAGCAGCACACAGACAAAAAAGCTCTGAGCATAGTTAAAAACAGACTGGGATCAAACAGAAGTTCAGGTAGAAGATCTAGGTAGACAGGCCACGAGCAGAGTGTCCTAAACTAGAGATGTAACTGGTTACATACAGTAGTACATAGGAGTCCCGATTACTTACACACCCTACCAAGAGGCTTTGTTTTACTCTGCTGAGCAGCAACAGCACAAAGACCTGACACGCCTCTCCTCTAGCCCAAAAGAGATGTTCTTCTCTCCCCTGGGCATTGTTCTATATTTCCTCAATATGGAGTAATGCAAAGAAAATTTTTGTCTATGCATTAAGGCAGACATTGTTAGAACCAAGGAAAAAGGAAGTTCTCAAAACTCTGCTTGACAGAAGTTGTCTTTGTGCTTACTCTGCAAGTAGGAAAGGAGTAAGCTGCAGCCCCTATGATGTGCAGTTGGGTCCGATCCATAAGGACACCAGCACTGCATGAGAGAACTTCAAATGAGCACAGTGTTCACTGGGAACAAGGCAACATGTGGCCAGGGGCAGATGATTTCTCAGCTCACTGGTGCAAAAGAAAAAGCAACACAAGGCAATTAGAGCAACTTGGTTTTTGTTTAGTTCTTAAACAGTAGTAACTCATACTTGCTTTTATTTACACATTGGCTGTTCTCACCCTAGACCACAAGTATGGACTAAAATCAGCATTTTAAATTTTTTTTACAAATATCTTCCAGTTAACTTTGCTGTTTCTCAGCACCACCACTAGCATAAGGCTGCAATGTTTAGTATGTACATACTGTGCAAGAATGTTGCTTTAAAGGAACTTTGCCTTCTTGATTACACCAAGATAACTCAGAATGTATGAAAGTTCATGTGCTTTTCTAATTTCAATTCTTGTTGGGGTGAAGCCTACATAAAAAACATTTTGAGTGGGAAAGAAAATCTCATCCTTTATGACATGCTACAAAGATAGAAGCAAAGAAGGTGAATCTCTTTCTGGAAGATGCCAAGCTGTCTTCAGTCCTTGAATGGCTATAATTGAAGCTGACCTGGCCTATCAGGAACTGATTGTTTACCAGTATCTTTTCAAAGACAAGGATGAGGAGTAAGCAACACAGCCAAAAGTGCACTGCCCACTTAAAGGTCATGCAGCATTCATCTTACACAACAGATTCAGCTAGGTGTGCTTCCTGCAGACAGCTATCTGGATAGCCTTTTACCCCTCCTCCGTGGAGGTCACTGAGGCAACAGCTAGAGTGGGGAAGGCTTTTCAGAGGAAAGTGACTGAGCTGCTACTAAAACAGCCAATTACATGCAGAAAGTGCAGCAGCCACAAAAATGTCCATTAGTGCTGCAAGGAAAGCAGCAGCATGTGTATGACCAAAGAGACTCCTCCATGTGTGACTAAGTTCTATTTCAGGCATTGGGTTGGGTGCATTTCTGAATTCCTTGGGATGGCCCCAGAGAAACCAATCTGGAATCTAATTAAACTGCTTCCGGCTGTAACCTGCTCCATTACTACTGATGTGAACAGGGCAGGGCTTACAAGACACAGGCTGCCTAACTGCACAGGAGCTCAAAGTTTGGTTGTGGCTGATGAAGCATCCAAAATGTTGCAAGTAGCACTCCAGCTCATACTAAGTTTTTTAAAAAAATAGAAGCAGCTGTAAATCAAGAGGCTGAAGCCCAAAGGAATGGATCAGTCTTAAGAGAGATATAAGAACAGATATTTGCACCTTCCCTTGTATATACAAAACACAAAGGATTTAACCTAAGACAGAACTGGACTGTCTTACTACCAGACTAATTATCCATGTCAAATAGCAATGAAAAACTGTCATTCCTATAGTGACACAGATCCAGAAGAGCATTTTGGTTTTTTTTTAAGACTGCAAGCTTCTCAGGGCTGTAACTTATCTAAATTTTGTGTAACGCAGGGCTCATTGTGAGCTCTTACATCAGAACAACTCAAATAGTTTTCCCATCTACCTGTCCCAAAGAGACAGGCACTGGTGAAGCAAGGACTGCCAGGAGAAAGAAGATCCTCCACAGAAGCGAGGCTTTGCCACCCCTTCCTAACAAAAGGTTTTGATGGCACTGCTGCATACACTTGCAATTTTTAGTGTGTTACCCTGCAGTATCACTATTCTACATTGTCTGAATCAGGTTTCTGTTGAAGGGCCTGAGCTAGTGCAGCACTTTAGCACAAACCCAGCTTCAACAGCAGCTTAATTAATTTGCTGTGCTCTGACCAGGGGTGACAGAGGTGCAAGCAAACACTATTTTGTAAGTTCACCTTGGAGGTGAACTTAAGTGACCTTAAGCAGAGGGGCAGGGCAGACAGCTGGGAGTGGCAGTGTCAAACCAGACAGGCAAGATTCATTGGAAATTCCCTGTCAAAGGCAAATCCTTTATTTTGTTGCCATTGGAATTTGTCAGCCTTAGAGAGCTCTCTCAGAAGTTCACATTACTCTGGAAAGGGCTCATCCTGATGGAATAATAAAGCATGTTTACAGCAAGTTTAATTGGGTATCTGAAGCAATTCTGGGTGCTCTGGACATTGGCAAGTGCCACTTGCATCTGGATTGTCTCCAGGGAGGGATATGAACATATGCAACTGAGCTTCTCTCATAGCCAGAGAAAGAGCATCACCCAGGTAACATAATTATTCTAGCAGGGGAACAAATAATTAACAAAGCTAAATCCTGCTTTCAGACTAATGTACACCTCTTCCAGACTGATAGGTTGCTCTTACAGACCACATGACCTTGGCACAGCCAATGCAGATCACAACACTGTGTATCAGCGTATCCTTTACAAAGGATCCTTCAACTGAGCAACACTGCCCATCAAGGCAGAGTAGCCCCTGCACCTTTTCCAAACACACCACAGAAACATTTTTGATGACTTCATGATTCTTCATTTCTTTCCCTAAGCCACTTGGCACAAGGACTAACATACCATTATAAGAAGGCAACAATTTGTAAAGGGCTATCAGGCGTTTCCAGGAGAGACTTTAACCACAGGCCTCTGTAAATAATTTTTATTACACTTTGAAAGTTCTCATCACACACGTGATCACAAAGTAGACAGTCTTCTCAGTCAAAGTGCTTTGCTGCCTGTTGAACCAGTGTGTAAGCTGTTAGCAAAAGCAGGAAGTTACTTATCAGCCAGTCAGTACTGTCTTAAACACTCATCTTTACTGCAACCCACATTGCCTTACCGTCTGTATTTATGGACTCGTATCCACCTCCTCATTTATTCCCAAGCATACACAGCAAACCATGCACTTCTCTGGAGTATTTGTGAGGACAAAGTCATATGCCCTCCAAACCTCTCTCAGATTGCAGCACATCCTTTAACTGTCCAAAACATCACCCGTTTTGGCTGCAAATCCACTTGGACTCTTCCTCCCATCTGGCCGGCTCCTCTGTTTTCCCATTCTCCACCTTCTTTACTGCTTATGAAGAATGTGATCACTTCTGCTTGCAAGGAAGATGATAGCGGGAGGTGTGGTGGTCCATCAGGTCAAACTCATCATGGCCTTCCCTGAGAAGCAAATACAAAGTGCAGTCAAAAGTAAATACCCAGGCTGGGAATTCGCCCTTAGCTACTGCACAAGGTATCTCCCAGCAGCCCTTACCTAGAAACTTATCTCAAGGGAGATAAGTTGTGAGGACCTGACTGGCAGCCACGTGGACTGACTACTTAAGGTATTTGCTTGTAACAGAAACCTCTGAGGTGCTTTGTGGGAAGGTCTGCTCAGCCTTGCCTGATGGATTCGAAAATGACAACAGATCTCTCTGTCTCTTTGCCTCTTGGAGAGATTCACTTAACTGATGGCTCATTTGCAGCACTATGTCTATGATTCCAGGGATACAAGCAACTCCTATGACAATAGACAAAATGATGGTCTGCTCTGCACAGCTCTGTTGTGGCTAAAACGCAGTGTACCGGCAGCTGTCTGAACCATGCTCAGCAGCGGGCAGTGTTGAGACACAAGCCTGCATCTGCAGGGAGCAACTTATGCACTTGTTCACCTTCCAGACTGCTGATTCTGCTTTTACTGACGTTTGCTGTTGGATATTTTTGTTTGTTTGCTTTGTTCTTAATGATCTAATACAGCCAATCACATACTTTCTTAACATTTTCATATTTTTCCCATTCCATTTCCATTTCTTTACAAAAACATTTGAAGGAAATCAGAGAATATACACAAAAGCATCTCTTGTTATCCCAACCAGATTCTTAGCAACTTGCTGTCTAAATGTCTTCCAGCCAACTACCCAAAAGTTTTGAGGCATGAAAAAAGAGAAGTCACACAAACTGTTAGGAAAAGCTTTGTATTCAAAGGAATTAACCCTCCAAATCTGAGACATGCAATATTTTTCAGAAATCAAGCTAGAAACATTTAAGAACCAAGACTACAGCTGCTGCAAGGCCTGACTGATGAAAAACGGTTCACACATACATATTTCAATAAAGATCTTTTTAATATAGTTTAATATTGCAAAGTCTCAACCTAAGAAAAGCTTCAGAAGTTTATACTATCTGATCTCCCCTCTTAAGGGAACGCAGCCCAGATCATCCATCAATGGCATTAACAAGCCATAGGAGTCACTGAACAATAGTCTCATTTATCCCATCCCACGTAATGCAGCACACCAGCTGCTCCAGAGAACACTCAGACAATGTGCCCAAACATGCACTGAGGCGGTACACGCAGAACACTCCTGCCTAGGGTCAGTTTAGTCCCTGAAGCCTGGGATAACTACTTATCACACAAAGTATTTCCATAACAACTAGCATTCAGCTCAGATCTGGGTTCCTTAAATATTCCCTCCTACTGCCTGTTTTATTGCCCAACAAGAAAAACAAACAAAAGGGGCCAAGCTATCCTTTTACCTGCCTCTAAGACCAAGAATTGCAAGACTTACCGAAAACAGCGCTGGCAGTAGAGGTCCCCATCACAGCCATGGCAGCGCAAAGTGGCATCTTCGTTGCAGATACAGCACCAGGGTAACTCATCCTCATCACTATCTGCCCTGGCAAGAGCTGTGGTGGTTGGAGTCTGGCCCTAATTCACAAAGAAAACAGAGACACAGAGTTCAAACCCCAGCAGAGAAAATACAGGACTTTTCATTGTAATGCATGATGGCCACAATGACCTGTCATATGGTCCATAGTGTACTCTCTGCTGATGCTAAGTCTGTGAGAAGAACTTGCCCAGAGCCCAAGGATAGGCTGCATACACATCTAGATTGTTGAATAAAACCCCAAGGTACTTGCTAGAATTTAGTTGTGAAACTATGTTGCTTGGAATGTAAACAGGTATTCACCCTCATTTGGTGTCTACAGCAATACACACCCACATTGTACTGTGTTAAGGGCATGAAGGCCAGATCTTCTGGCAGGCACCACAACAATACCATGTGACACACAATTCCTGCTGTAAAAGCAAGCAATCAAGCAGTTTTGCTGAAAGCAGTTATGGGGGAAGGGAAAGTAATGGGAGGTTGGGTGTGTTTTTCTCCCTGTTATAGAAAGAAAACTGTGGGACAAAGGAAGTGATTTGCCAAAAGGCCTCTACTATTGATTTGTACCTGTGGCTGGGACAAAAAGATCTTCTGAAATCGTAATCTAAATATATCCATAAGGCAAACTGTTGTCTCCTTCTCCCTTACAGAGAACTCTTCTGAAACTGAACAGTCATAAACACACTGAGACACAGTGCCTGGACACTGTCAAAGGCAGCTTTCTAACATAATCTTTTCCTAACACTATCTTTTACATCAGTAATCCCAGAAACGCAAGGTGGCATACCTATGAGATGGATGTTTTCAATAATGCTTACAATTAAATAATTTCTTCCATGGGGGATAGGCCTGACAGGTGACTGTCAGTCACAGGTCCATTTAATTCTTGTAATATACATTAGAGAACATGTTTGTATTTCCATAGTAGGCCAGAATCCACTCTGAGCATAGGATATCTTGCTACTAATTCCTTCTTCTGATATTATATGAGAACACAGACATTGTATTCCTCCTAGAGGTTCTATTCTGCACAAGCTGAAAGCACCAGCAAACCTCCCATTTACTCAGGTTCAGGATGTGTGGTACTAGACTGTGGCCTTGTCAGCCTGACTTTACATATATATATGTATATTCTCTAATATTCATACTGTGAAGTCTCTGCTAACTTCTCCAGATTTAGATGACACCATAACATTCAACAGAAAGCCAGCCTGAAAGGAATAGTATTCCAGGCAGCAATTCCTCTTAAATGGATGATTCACAGCTGAGCTCAGGGCTGGTCAGCCTTGCAGAAGCTGCTTGGCTTGTCTGCCCTGGAAAAACTGGTTGGTTACTCCTTTTCTGCATTAAGCCTAGGATACAGCAAACTTCTGCTGCAAAACTGTACTCTCTTAAGACCCTGGAATACATCAATTCAAGAGATCCGGACCAGCTCACTGACCTTTTGCTTTGCTTTCTTACACAGGTTCTGTTGTGAGGGTCCTGGTTGGGTGGTCTGATCTGGAGGAATGTTGAATCCACTTGCTTCATCCAGGGCTGCTTCCTCTGTGAGCTGGTAACAAGAGAAAGCAAGAAGCCTCTTGTTTCAAACACAGCTGTGATCCTCATTCTAGGCCCTAAACCTCCTGCCCTTCTTGCTCTCATGTAATAACAGGAGATAAGAAGTCTGAATACATCTTGTGTTATCCAGACAGATGTGAGCGCTCTCTGCACTAGGAACACTGTGTGTACACTGTGGACAGTCAGTGCAGCAGCAGGGGCCTATAGCAAACACACTCTGCTTTGCAGCACAACTATCAGGAGACCCTCAACATCATGCTAATCACACGTGTGTGATGTATCAGACACAGGAATTGTCTGATAAGCACAGCAAATGCGGGTCTGCCTGCCAAGACAATTCCGAGACATTTTAGAGAGAAATAAGCTGTGCTACACAGCACACATGTCAACATCCATGTTCTAACTGGATAGGGGAGCAGAAGGAACAAGAAGTAAGGAAGTAGCAGCAGAGTGGGGTTGTAAAGAAGACACACACACCACAAGAGACACTAAGCATGAATGAGAAAGACAGTGTGACAGACTAGAAGCATTGTTGTCAGTCGCCTGCCAAAATAGCTGAATGGCCCATGGGAGCTAGCATTGGGAAAGCATTAGGAGGGGAAGGAGTGAAACTCTTCCCAGAAACACAAACACATCCTTTGTGTATGCTCATCAGGTAACAGACACACTGGGCGTAACTAAGAGGAAGATAAACAAGGCCACAGCTGCCACTTCTGACCTGTTTTAGCACTCTGCGAATGGCTTCCTCCTCAGCCACTTCCTCATCACTGTCAGGAAGTTTATAGTTTTCCAGTGTAACTGTAGGAGTAAGAAATGGGAGACTGTAACCCAAACCTGCTTCAAATCTTGTGCCCCTTATGTACCAGAGACAATTGCTTGTGCTGTGAGCTTGTTTTGGCATTCTGGCTCTGACACAGACAGATCCTTTTCAGGTGCAAACTCATCAAAAAGGGTGTTATTGTTTGGTTTTAATACTGGAAGAGGGAAGAAAAAAATCCCCACCAAACCCAGAGCTTTGTTTTTAAAAGCTCTGTTAACCTCACCAGAGCATGCTAGAACTACCTCAGAGAAGGGTGCAAGACAAAGCAGTCTGACCTTACAGCTCCAGCCTTTACCCTCAACTTAGATCTTTCACACTGATTTCACAATGAACCAACTTGTACAACTTTACAGATGAAATCAAATCTTAGTCTGTTTCTTGCAGAACATAGGAATTAAATGGATAAACACTTCTCAGAAAAGAAATTACTCTGTCACAGCAACTTGATTCCTCTCTTGGCACTGTATTCTCATCTGCTGCTCACCTTTCTCTGGGTCCTCGCCTTTGAGTGCTGCCAGTCTCTTGGCAACCTGTAAGATCTTCTCCTGCCTAGTATTCTCTTCCTGCAGCTCAGCAGCAGCTTCTGCCAGAAGTTTGTTCTTCTCTTCCTCTAGCTGTTTTGGGTCCAGATTTGCAGGGCAAACACAATCTTCACTTTCTCGATTGAGATCATTCAAACTTTGGCTACTAACAGCTGCAGGCAGACACACAGAACATGCTGGTGACTCAGCAGCAATGTTCCTTGGGCACAGAAAACTCAACGAAAGCAATGCTTTGAGAACAGCTTGCTGCTCTCCATGAATCCAGGTAATAATAGGAGAAGGCATGCCAGTAGGATCCTCACTGTACATGAAGAGAAGTGAGCTAATCTGTGGTCTACAGTGAGATTACAGAGAAAGTACTGCAGCTAGGAAGATAATGGTATGCCAGATTCCAGTGTTTTGTAACAGTGCACATGTGCATTAGGAGTAGCAACACCTCCTCCCCAGGGAAGGGTCACCTTAGAGAAATAGAGGAGCGATCTGTGTACAACAACCCTGACAACAAGGAACCATCTCCAGGCAAAGACACTGAGACCCAGTATGGAGCCAGATGGCTGCTCTTAGTCAATTTGGTAGTCATAAGGGGGAGAGATGGACAAACTGGACACCCAGCTCACCTGTAAGCTAGATAGGGAGGCACATATTGCCTCCTCAATATAGCACATACATTATTACATATAAACAGGTCTTTGGAAGCCAAAATAAATACCTTGAGGCTGAACTCTTGGTCTGTAATGCTCATCAATGGCAACTTCCTCAGATAGTTGAGTTAACAGGTCATCTGTCTGCTGGACCAGACTTCTGGTATCAGGAGGCTGGTGTACCTAAGAAACAAGGGGGGTGTGGGAAAAGGCAAATGAGAGGAAAGTGGCAAACTCAATCAAAGGAAAGTTTGGCAACCAAGATCACCCTGGATGGAAGCAGCATAAAAAGATGCCTCCACTGATATTGAGAATCTCAGCTTACAGCTTTATGTGGTGTAAGACTTTCAAGGGCTTCATTTTTAGAGGTGCTGAATGCACACAGCTCTAAGAGCAGTCACCCAAACAATGCGAAGTGGTGCTGAATGCATAGGAGTACACGCTGCTGGGTCCCAATCCCAGCTCTGTCACTACCTCCAATTCAAACAAAGTGCCGTTCTCAACAGTGCCAGCCAGCAGCCCCACTAAGACCTACAATAACGTCTGGGCATGCAGCTGAAAAAAGAACCATAAGGAAATGATATTCTGGGGACAAGATAATTCCCATAGGCTTTCAATCCAACTGATTCCTCTGCAACTTCAGACAAATCATGCTGAACTTCAATTTCTGGAATAATTAACAGGATTTTGCCCAGCTGGTGTGCAGTAACGACTACCAGATACAATTAGAAGGTAGGGCTGATAAGCCCCAAACACAGACAAACAGCTCTGAAATACTATGACCACTTAGGTATACAAACGGGTTGAGAGTAAAAAACTTAGCAACTATTGTTAAGAATATACACATGAACTACACCTGACATGAAGGAGCACATTGGATTCAAATTGAGGCAGCGAACTAGTAAAGGCTGACCATTTGCTTCTGAAGCAATGACACAATCAGGAAACAGAGATTTTTGAGTTAAGCTACCTGGACACAAAAAACCCGAAGAAGGAAGAACAGTTAACATGCTGGGACACCAGTTACTGTGTCAGCTCACAATAAATTGCTGACTAAAGAGCTGAGGGATCTTACAGGTCTGCGAGCCTGGGAAGGAGGATCTCTCCCCTGCAGGACAGCCAACCGATCCTCCATCTCCTCTGTGGATGGAATAGGACCCCGGCCATCCTCCTTCAGGGCAGCCAGCCTAGCTTCAATCTCAGCCTGAGTAGGGATGGACTCTGCAATTCAGAATAACCCAAGAGAAGAGATTATCCTGTTAATGAAAACAAAACACTTCAAATATTTTTTTCTCAAAATTGTATTTCTTTCTGGAATCAGACTCTGAACACCTGAACAAAAACCTCCCTCAGCCCTGATGTGAATAAGGGGTCATACTGCAGTGACTCAGAGACTACTCTAATGCTATCCTTGCCTTCAGAGTCCTTGCCTCCATCACAGTTTATCTCCTAGCCATAAGGTGAGTATTAGGGTAACATCATTTGGCAATCAGCTGACTTTGAATACTAGGGACAGGCAGAGAAATAAGAGTCTTTTAGGCAGTATAGTCCATCTCCTGATGCCAACCTAGACATATATCAGACTGAAACCCTCCCCTGCCACGTAACAGACGAGAGGCAATGGCCTCAAATTGTGCCAGGGGGAATTTAGATTGGGTATTAGGAAAAATTTCTTCACAGAAAGGGCTGTCAAGCACCGAAACGGGCTGCCCAGGGAAGTGGTTGAGTCACCGTCCTTGGTGATATTCAAAAGATGTGTAGATGTGGCACTTAGGGACATGGTTTAGCGGTGGACTTGGTAGTGCTGGGTTAATGGTTGGACTTCATGATCTTAAAGGCCTTTTCCAACCTAAATGATTCTGTAATAACCAGGTAACCACTTTGCAGTGTGTTCTTTCTCTTCTAGGGATCCCATATAATTTTAAAAATAGTTTATTCTCCTGCAAGCACTTCAAGGCTATCCCAGAACCTGACAGCTGTGGACTGGGATGAGAATCCTTTTCCTTCTCTGCGAGACAAGGCTAGCCAGAATATAGTCCCACAGAGAATGGAACCCAGGACAATGACCCACAGGAAACCTTCTAAAAAATACTTTGGCCAAAGACTTTAATTTCATTCTGCTCCAAGCGGCCTTGACACAGGCTTTTACCCCACAAAGAGGAAATGAGAAAGTGATTTTACACATTAGATACTGCCCCAAAATTGAGTTGTAGTTTCAAGGGAAACACCAAGAAGCAAAATGAAACTGGAACATTGACCTAAACTCATTGCAGAACTGGGCCATTGTGGCAGCAGTACTTGGATGCTCTGTCCTGTTTTAAGCCTTCATTTCCCTAAAACAGCAGCCTCTTAACATCCAGAACTCCCCTCTCCCTCCAGGTTCCATGTTTCCCAAGTAGCAGTGTTCCCACCCAAGGTATTTACAGTATTCTCTACAACTCACTCGGTTTCCTTTCCTCCCTGAGCCTCTCCAGTCTCTCTGCAATAGCTCTATCCTCTTTTGAGAGCCCCTGGTATCTGGAGCCTGCTCGACCTGGGGGTTTTGCAGCCGCTTTCTGTTGCTCTTTCAGCTGGTTTTGCTTAGCCTCAAAAGCTGCTACATGCCTGTGACAAGGATGGAAAAAAAGACATGACAATTGAGAACAGGAATTTTAACCTGGAGATATGAAAACATCCTCTGTGAACCCAACAGAAATGAAACCACTCTCTCTCATACCAGGCTCTCCAACATCAGCACAGTGAGGTATTGCTAAGAGTAAGGAAAACCTTAGCTCACAGGAGCAGCACGCCTGGCACTGCTTCCCAGAAGATATGGAACATTTCACCACCGGGTTCCTGTTTCCAAGCCAGCTCTGATCAGTCACAGATAATTGCAGGCAGGTGGCTTTTCAGGAGTCTATTCAAAAGAGCTCATGCCCCACCCCTAAAACAAACTAACAATCCAAAGAACAAAACAGAAGCTCTATCCTTAATCTAATTCTGAATCCAAGCAAATACCCACATCAAAAGACCCACTTTTGCAGGTCTCCACAGGGGAAAAGGAAGGCCTAAAAGGCTACTCCGCAGCAGAAACAACTGATTGTCAAGTGCAACTCACTTTTTGTAGTTTTCTGGTGGTGACCATTTTGCTGAACTGCTTTGAGATCCCTCTCTGAAAGACAAAACCAATGATTTTTCTGAACTCAAAATACTGACAATACTTCAATCACCTAGTCTCTCAACTTAAGAGGAATCAGCAGACTTTTCTTGACCTCTTGATACAGCCCCTTTCATAACCTCATTAACACTGAGAGCAATCAGCTTATGAACTGGATTAAGATAAGATAACTGCCTGGGACAGCAGGGGACTTCATTTCTAGTCCTTTGGTCCAACTGTTTTGCATTGTGACTTAATACAGTCACCAGTGATCCAAAGGAGGTGGGGCTGAAATACCCTTGCCTCCCACAGCCTGCACCTCCCACTTCAGAAAGCAGGTAGACAGTAGTTAGGTAAGACTCCCAGTGTAACTAGCTTCCATGCAGCAGAACACTCTGGAAGTAGCTGGGGCATGCAACAAAAACAGAATTATATAATGCACAACCAAAACAAAATGTTACAGAAGTTATTATATAACCGCCATCATAATGACATCTTCTAGCACACTTGAACACTGCACACCACAAGCACATATTGTATAACTATCTTCTACTTCACTGTATTCAGGTTGAGGGGCTAAACTACACACTTAGGTGAGGTAGTTGTAGTTGGCATATTTCACTCATTCTTGGAAGCAACAGCTGCAAACACAGCTAAGGCCTGTATAATAATGAATGAATGTAACATTGTTGAACTGTTTTCCGGTTCTAAGGTTTCAGTTCTGAAATTTATTTGCGTGAATAACAACATATGCAGCTTACAGAATGGGGCACCATCCAGAGGGACCTCGACAAGCTCAGTAAGTGGGTCCATGTGACTCTCATTAAACAATGGGTCCCATGGTTTAACAAGGCCGAGTGCAAAGTGCTGCACCTGGGTTGGGGCAACCCCTCGTATCAGCACAGACTGGGGGATGAACAAATCGAGAGCAGCCATGCTGAGAAGGACTCGGGGGTGCTGGTGGGTGAGAGACTGGACATGAGTCAGCAATGTGCACTCACAGCCCAGAAAGCCAATTGTGTCCTGAGCTGCAACAAAAGCAGCGTGGCCAGCAGGTCTAGGGAGCGGATTCTGTCCCTCTACTCTGATCTTCTGAGACCCCACCTGGAATGCTGCATGGCTGGCATTCCCAGCACAGGAAGGACACAGACCTGTTCGAGTAAGTCCAGAGGAGGCTACCGAGTTGATCAGAGGGATGGAACACCTCTCCTATGAGGAAAGGCTGACAGAGTTGGGATTATTCAGCCTGGAAAAGAGAAGGCTTCAGGGCGACGTAATTGCGGCCTTCTAGTACCTGAACGGAACTTAATGGAAAGACAGAAAGGGACTTCCTACAAGAGCATGTAGTGACAGGACAAGGGGGAATGTTTTCAAATGGAGAGTAGCTTTAGACTAGATATTAGAAAAAAATTCTTAACTGTGAGGTTAGTGAGGCACTGGCACAGGTTGCCCAGAGAAGTTGTGGATGCCCCATCCCTGGAAGTGTTTAAGGACAAGTTGGATGGAGGGAGCTCTGAGCAACCAGGTCTAGCAGAAGGTGCCTCTGCCCGCAGCAGGCAGGTTGGAAAGAGATTGTCTTTAAGGTCCCTCCCAACCCAGGCCATTCTATGATTCTGTGATCTACCTGCTATCTGCTCAGGGAGAATTTTTTTCTTCTGTAACTCTATAGTACTGATATTAAAATGATGAGAAAAAAAGGCCCACAAGAAACATGGAGAAAGGCTGCCCTGTTTTTTTAATGGCTTTGCAGTTGTAAAGAGAAATCAGAAAATTTCAAAACTGAAACGACTGAATACTGTATTTCACTGTTTCCATGAGCCAGTGAAGATGAAGACATTCGCTAATGAGAGGCTCCTCTCCTTTAGACACCAGCAGAGCCAGAAAATTCCCCACTAATTGGTGAAAATTCTTTGCTATATGAGAGAAGTGGAGAAGAGGAGTAAGAGAAGGAAGAGGACACAAAAGAATTGGCTAACTGAGGGATTCTGGTGTACACTTGTGTAAACTGATTTTATGCTACAAAATTTTAAATCTTCAGGCTATGTGTAGCAGAGACCCCTCAACACTGACGATTTGTGTCACTGCCCACAGAGGTAATAACACTTTGAAAATCTTATTGTCAGCCCATTAAACTACTACACTTCTGAAAAGACTGCCAGTGCTTTTAGAGGGGTGTAGATTTCTGGGCAAAAACACAGTGGGGCTTAACCTGGGCTCATCTAGCTAAGATGTCCACAGTAATTCAGTGTCCTTCTGTGAAGTTTTAAACCTGCTTCCTTCTGACTACTCTGTCATAATAGAAAACAGGCACAAATCCTGATTCGTATCTTTGGACTACACAGCTCATAAAACAACAGTTCAGAAACAGCCTGGCTTGAAACTCCAGGGTACAGGCAGCATCCGTGCACAAACGGAAGGCACAGCTCTCATGCATAAATCTGCAACACAACACTGGGATGTAAACTGAAGATACAAAGCAGGAAACTGTCTTTGGGTGAAGAAGCACTCACGCCTTACCCAGTTAGTTTTTCATGACACTGCTTGCACACCTTCTGCTGCGTGTTTCCACAGCGGGGAACAACAGCAGTGAAGCTCCGGCAGCCCGAGCAGAACGACCGTCCGCAGTTCTTGCAGCCACACTGCAGAGACAGAGAGAGGGGCGGGGCAGGGCTTCACCAACCCGTCATCGCACACCCCCACCGCTCCGCCCGGCCGCACGCAGGCACAGTGCCCGTGACAAGGCACACACAAAATAACGCTGGGGCCGTGCTGATTTTTTTGTAAGAGAACTCTATCGCCAGCTGCTGATGAAGATATGGAGACTTTCGAGAACCAGCACGTAACTCCTGCTGGGAGCTGAGTCACCACTTCATCCCATAGTATAACAAAGTGTGTGCGTGGGAATTGTCTGAGACAATGACCGAATGCTGGATTAGAGGGATGACATGATGATTTTTTTTCTCTTTTTTCTTGTTTTTGTCAGTAATCTCCCATATTTGAAGACATATTGCAATTAGGCACCACAATAGCTCAGTAAGCAAGGACACCAACGCCGGGATGCTGGCCAGGAAGATGTCTTGGCGCAGGGCGAGGCGGTTCCCGGTTCCCCTCTCAGACCCTCGCATTGTGGGGTGTCACCCCCGGGACCGGCCGGTCCTGACCCCCCGCAGCCGGACTTGCCTCTTTCTTGAAGACAGAGAACTTGGACGCGCATCCATAGCACCGGCTATCCATGGCGCTACCGGAGGCGCGGCCCAGCCTCAGGCGCGGCGCTGCACGCCCGCTGAGGCAAGCTCCATGGTCCTCCCCCCAGGTCCCTTGGCTGCCTCAGGCTCGAGGGTCGACGACGATCGGGGCTGGCACTAGCGGGGAGGCGCGGAAAGCGCCCGCCCGTCCTCAACACACGGGGCTGGGGGCGCACAGCCCGACGGGAGTTGTAGTCCCTCGCCCCGCCCTTCTCGGCGCCAGCCGACGGGCAGCTCTCCGTGGATAAACTACACTGCCCAGGGCTCCGCACGGTCCCAGTGCCGGGCCGCCCGGGCCACCAGCCAGGGCACCATCGCCGCACGATGCATTGTGGTACCTGTAGTCTGGTGCCGCCGGCAGCGCCATGTCCCGGCGGACATTAGCCGTGGGTGTTAATTGGACCGAAAAGTGTCTTCTCTAATGCTGACAGGGTTGCCCCCGAGTTACTCTGGTTTTGGGGTCTTTTTTGTCTTAAACCTGTGGTGAGATCCTGGTTCAGAACAGCAAGAATCGACTGAATTGCAAAACTCCTGTTATCTCCAGCCCATCCTTGCCAGTGTTGGTCTAGGTGCCCTCAGAATGTCCTGCAGGGTTTCCAGAAAGAGTTACTGAGTGTACTATGAGTCATCCCGCTAACCGCGTGGGTTTGCAGGTACATTTTGCATTCTTTTCAGTTTAATATATAAGTAAAAACCTACACAATTAAATTAGGAAACTGACTGATTTATTCAAGGAAGTAAGACTTGTTAATACCTGAACAAAGCTAAATTTAAAGAAAAAAACAGTGGAGGTTTCCCCTCTCAATTTTTTATTTTTGATTTGTTTAATTTTTGTTTGTATTTTTGTTTTAGTTAGGTGGGTGTTTTTTTGTTTGGTTTTGGTTGGTTTTTTGTTTTCAAAAAACATTGGAAACACGACTGTATCAAACTTGAAAGCTAAACTTCGCACCTGTTCAGCAATTATGCTAGAGATCACCCGGAAATTCCACGTATCGTAGGCATAAAGCAGGGAATCGACACAAATATAAACTCAAACAAAAGACTTCATTGTCTTTGCTATTGAGCTGATCAATAGGAAAAGAGGAAGTTTGAATCTTAATGTTATAGTGCAACCTACCGACTGACAGGTGGAATTTGGAATGCCGCTCAAGACAAAAATACAGTGAACGAAAGAACCTTCCTAACCAGACAGCACCACCAACAGAGGGGCACGGGAGGAAGCAACTTAGAGAAACTGAACATCCTTGTTGAGAAACGCCTCGGCTAAATCTGCCGGATGGAACTGAGCGCCGTGACCAGGGCAGGAGAAAAGCTCACTCTCCCGTGTCTGGAGAAGAGGTACGATACGTTCCCATTCCCGTTCCCTTTCCCTTGCAGGTGTCCGCCAGAGGGGGCCCGGCCCCCGCAGTTCTCCAGCTCCTACACCAAAAGCCATTTGGCAACGGAACAGCAGGAGCTTTCCTTTATTTCTTCTCTTACCCGCTGATGTTTCCCATGATAGAGCGAACTCGATTATAAAATCCTATGTGACAACTTAGCCTGTAAGGTTTTCAATTTCTATTTGAAGTCCAGGAGAGATTAAATTGTCTTTGGTTCATGTGTCTTCTCCTTGCCAAACTCAGTTGTTGCATTCTCTGTCCTACACAGTTATAGCCGCAAAAGCTGTGCTCTTCTCTAACTCGCTGTGAAACTGTGCCCCAGTGTATTAGACTTGGCCTTGATAATCTTGGGGCTTGATTACTATAATGGAACATTATAGTAAAGCTTTGGATCTGAAAAATTTTAAATTAAGTAAAAATGTGACCGTTTGCCTACTAAGTCTCCCAGGCTGTAATGTTTTTCCTTGCAGTTCAGTGTGGGAAATAGGGCAGATCATCACCAGAGTGAAATTGAAAACTGAGTTTCAGTACTCTCTTGCTGTTGCAATAGGCTCATTTTCTTCTATTAGATGAGGAACCAACTGTATTACAGCCCATCAAAAGCTGCCCTTATTTTCTGTCAGACATTGTTTGCAGTCCTGAGTGATATGGATCAAGCAGAGTAAAGTCAGGACCCTGAATTTCAGGAAAACAAACTTCCAGCTCTTAAAGGAGTTAGTTAATAGGACCCTTTGGGAAACTGCCCTCTGGGACAAGGGACCAGAACCAAGCTGGTAGATCTTTAAGGTCTGGTAGATCATAAAGCACAAGAGCTCTTGATCCCCAGGTGTAAGAAATCAGAAAAAGAAGGCAAGAGACTGGCATGGCTGAGTTGACACTAAAGGGCAAAAAGGAAATGCACAGGCAGTGGAAGCAGGAAAGGGTATCCTGGGAAGAGCATAGGGATGCTGCCTGGTTGTATAGGAATGGGGTCAGGGAGGCTAAGGTGTGGATGGGGCTCAACTTGGCAAGGGATGCAAAGAATAGTAACAAGGTCTTCTACAGGTATGTCAGCCAGAAAAGGAAGGTCAAAGAAAGCATCGCCCCCAATGAACACGACTCTAATGAACACAACAATGGATAAGGAGAAGGCTGAAATACCCAACAAAATTTTTCTTGTCTCAGTTTTCACTGTCAACCTCTCTTCCTGCACTTCTTGAGTGGAGGGACTGCAAGACATGGACTGGGGGAGCCAAGTCCAGAAGAGAAGACCAGGTTTGTGTGACCACCTGAGGAATCTGAACATACCTGTCTATGAGAACTGAGAAGATGCATCCCAGAGACATGAGAGAATTGGCAGATGTAGTTGCCAAGCCTCTCTCCATGATATCTGAAAAGTCATGAGAATCAGGTGAAGTCCCAGGTGGCTGGAAGGGAAACACTGCACATTTTAAAAAAGGGTAAAAAGGAGGACTCTGGGAATTACTGATCTGTCAGCCTCACCTCTGGGCCTGGGAAGATCATGGAACAGGTCCTCCTAGAAGCTGTGCTAAGGCACATGGGGACAGGGAGGTGATTAAGACGGACAGGGAGGTGATTAAGATGGACAGGGAGGTGATTGAGACAGCCAGGACAGCTTCACCAAGGGCAAGTCCTGCCTGAGCAACCTAGTGGCCTTCCATCATGGAGCAATTACATCAGTGGACAAGGGAAGAGCTACAGGTGTTGTCTGTTTGGATTTCTGTAAGGTCTTTGCCATGGTCCCCTACAACATCTTTCTCTCTAAAATGGAGAGATAGATTTGATGGGTGGACTGTTCGGTGGATGAGGAATTGGTTGCATGGTCATATCCAGAGGGTAGTGGTCAATGGCTCAATGTCCAGATGGAGATGCATGACAAGTGGTGTCCCTCAGGGGTCCATATTGGTTTGATACTGTTTAATATCTTCATCAATGCCATAGACAGTGGGATCAAGTGCGCCCTCAGCAAGCTTGCCAATGACACCAGGCTGAGTGGTGTAGTTGACGTGCCTGAGGGAAGACATGCCATCCAGAGGGACCTGGACAAGCTCAAGAAGTAGGCCCTTGTGAATCTCATGAGGTTCCAAAAAACCAAATGCAAGGTCCTGCACCTAGGTTGGGACAACCTCAGGTATCAGTCCAGGCTGGGTGGTGAACAGGAGAGCAGCCCTGCTGAGGACTTGAGGTATTTACTGGTTGAAAAGCTGGAGCCAGCAATGTGCACTCGCAGCCCAGAAAGCCAATTGTATTCTGGGTTTCATCAAAAGCAGTGTGGCCAGCAGGCCGAGGGAGGTGATTCTGACTCTGCTCTGTCTGCTGAGACCCCACCTGGAGTACTATGCCCAGGCCTGGAGTCCTCAGCAGAGAAAAGACATGGACCTGGTGGAGAAGGTCCAGAGGAAGGACACAAAGATGATTGTGGAGCTGAAGCACCTGTCCTATGAGAGAAGTCTGAGAGAGTTGGGGTTGTTCAACGGAGACATGAAGGCTCTGGGGAGACCTTCTTGTAGCCTTTCAGTACTTAAAGGGGGCTTATAAGAGAGATGGGAACAAGCATTTTAGCAGGGCCTGTTGTGATAGCACAAAGGGCAATGGTTTTAAACTAAAAGAGGGTTGATTTAGACTAGAGATAAGGAAGATTTTTTTTTACAGTGAGGGTGGTGAGACACTGTAACAGGTTGCGCAGTGGATGCCCAGTCCCTGGAAGTATTCAACGTCAGGCTGGACAAGGCTCTGAGCAACCTGGTCTAGTTGAAGATGACTCTGCTCATTGCAGAGTTTTGGCCTAGATGACCTTTAAATGTCCCTTCCAACACAAACTATTCTATGATTCTATGATTCAATGACTAGGGTTGTAGTCATGCAAGTGTCGTCTCAACCACAGTCACTTACTTATGTAAGGCAAACGTGTTTTAAATTAAACACAAAAAAGGGCCTATGAGTAGCACATTTTTGTGTGTTTTTGTAGTGCTTTATTCCAGGCTGTTTTTCTCCTACAGCAGTAATTGACAGATCACTGTTCTGATTCTTACAGACTACAAAAGCATAACACTTGAAGGCTCTGATTTGCCTCCTGGATAGGAACCAGGACAGTCTCAAAGCTGGTAAGAGCAGAACATATGGACACAAACACTCTTGTTTCTTCTACACACACAGGCTTCTGGAAGCGTGTCTCTCTTTAAATAGGTCTGGGTTTGTACGCAATTAAGGTAATACCTGTTTGTGCCATGAGGTATGTACCTCTATGGGAATACATATATAAATTCCTCACTGCTAGATACCTCTGGTTTTTAAGGTTAATTTCTTACATGTTAGATTTCAAAAGTGTGTTAAGTGAGTGCTGAACTTTCATTAGAACCTCTGAAAATCCTCTTATGGTGGTATTTGAATCCTCAGCTTTTGGCTATACTGTCCATTGTTTCTACTGGCTGGTTACTCTTAATTCATACATCTCAGACTATAAATCTTAAGAGCAAGCTTATATATAATGTTTATATATATATGGGCAATGCCTTTTGTGGAAGGATTTATTGTCTGTTAGATGCAAGTCCCCTTACACTGTGCATTTGGGTTACACCTAAGCTGTTAGGAAGGTTTGTGAATCCTACAGCTTCTCCATTTTTGATTCACAAGTAACTGTGGATCAAGGTGAGTGGCCATCATTTTAAGAAGGAAGGATGCCATTCATGAGGATGTTTTCTATCTTGCATTTTCCTGTTTGGTGGGCCACAGATTTATAGATGAGTAATGGAAACCTAAAGTAGAGAC